TTAAAACAACACCAGCTAAAATAATACTACCGGCTAAAGGTGATTCAACATGAGCTTTTAATAATCAAGTATTTAAAAAAATTGTAGGTGTTTTTACTGCAAAAGATACAAATATACCATAAAATAAAAATAGTTGAGTAATATAATTATAATTCGCTTTTGATAAAGCATCAAAATCAGTAGTACCCATTATAGAAGACATTGTTATTATTGATAGTAACATAAATAAAGATCCTAATAAAGTATACAAAAAAAAATAAAAACTAGCTCTAACTTTATTACTTGATCCAAACAAACCAATTAATAAAAATAATGGGGGTAGTATACTTTCAAAAAAAATATAAAATAATAATATATCTAAAACTAAAAATACAGCTAACAATAATGTCTCCAATAGTAAAATTAAAACTATAAATGACAATACATTTTTTTCTTCTATTGATCTTCAATTAGATATTAATGCTATAGGTATTATAATTGTTGTTAATAATACAAAATATATAGATAATCCATCTACACCTAGATAAATATCAAAATAATTTATTTGATGGTGCTCTTGGACTTGTATAAACTGAAATTGTTTACTACTAAAATCAAATAATATAAATATAATTAAACAAACTATTAAATTAAGAATAGAGGTACTCAAACCTATTATTTTTATAATTTTATTCATTAAAGATGAGATATTATACGTTTTTAATATTAAAATTAAGAAGATTCCTATTAATGGTATTAATAATAAAGATATAAGAAATAACATTTTAAATAAATACTCTTAAAAAAACCTCTAAGTTATATAACTACAACTTTATGTAACACCCTGAACATCTCCAAGGCATAATCTAGTTATAAAGGGTTGGTACCTTGACTCGAACAAGAATATACTGTGCCACATACAGCCGTTCTACCTATTAAACTATACCTACCTTTATAATAATTATATTTTTTTTTTGTAAAAAAAAAAATATAAGATATCTTTTTTAGATATATTAGCCAGGAGAGAAATTCGAATTCTCATTCTTAATTCATGAAATTATTGTTCTACCTATTAAACTATCCTGGCAAATATATAAAATATATTTTTTAATAGACATAAAATTATGTTGGAGCGATTCGAACACTCATTAGTAAACACCAAAAATTTATGACTTACCTATTAGTCAACAACATAGGCTTAATATACTAAATTTATATATATTTTTTTATTAAAAAAAAAACATATTATATTTTGATTTTAATCTAAACTATATAATTATATTAACTTATATTATAAAGATATGTATTACCTAAATTTGCATATATTAAACTCATACCTTATAAAATAAAACAAAATAACAAAACCTAATAAAAATAAACTCATACCATATAAAATAAAACAAAATAACAAAACCTAATAAAAACAATAAAACTAAAATTGATCTTTTTGATATAATAGCTACAAAAGTAGTTACGATAGTTGGTATACCATCATAAACATCAGGAGATAAAAAACGAAAAGGAACTCCTGATATTTTAAATAAAAAACCTATTCATATAAGGTATATATGTAACTATATCTAACATATCATCACCATTTATTAAATTAGATATATTAGTTATTATATAAAAATTATCTAGATATGTAGTACCTGAATTTGCATATATTAAACTAATACCTAATAAAATAAAACAAGATGATAATCCACCTAATAAAAAATAAGTTAAACCTGAAGATGTTGATGATTCTGAATTTCTGTATATTGTACAAAGTAAATACAAACCATAACTTTGTAATTCTATGGATAAATATAATGATATTAATAATAGACTACCCATTATTATAAATAGTATAATTAAAGTATATTCAATTATACTATATTGTTCTATTTAGAATATGTAACACACTAGAAACTGAAGATATATTAAACAATCCACCAAAAAGCCCTATACTAAAGTCTAGGTTTGTTAGATATTAACTTTTTTTTAATTTTTCTAATCTTTTTATTCTATTTATTGTTGCTGAATGTGTTGGATCCAATTCATATCTGAAATTTGTAAATGTTTGTCTCATAAATCAAGGATTTAAACAAAGATTATGTTCATCTATTTGTCTATTTCCAGCTCTTAATTTATATTTATTTGCTGCATTTAAACTATCTGTCGCCTGATGTAAATCTAGTAAAATTCTTTTTTCCTCACTATCATCCATCTTTCTTATTTTTTCTATATCAGTATTTTTATATTCTCATCTAAATCCCACTGATCCATCAGCTCTGAAGTCATGACAAAGCCTTGTTATATCAACATACTTATCTATAACAGGTTGTATTATTACTGGATTATTAAGCACATAATTTCTCATATCAAAAAAGATCATAGTATGTGCAGCTATATAAAGGTTTATATCCTCTGAATTTAATGCCACATCTAAATTCTTTATAGATGACTTAGAAGTATGCTTCAATACAGCTTTTTTGTCCATATCTAGAGCTTTCTCCTTTAACTTTTGATCAATTGGAGAAGAATAATTATTAGGTTCGTCTATTACTCCTTCTAGAGGTTTATTCCTTCTAGAATCACCTATTCCTCGTTGTGAGGTATTATTACTTCTAGTTCCGCCTAGACCTTGTTCTGTAGGTTTATCCTTTATATTACCCTCTATATCTCGTTTTGTGAAATTCTTCAATTTAGGACCGTCTATTCCTCCTTCTGTAGTATTCTTTATCTTAAATACTATATCAGAAACTATCTCAGACTTATCCATAAAAAATAGTGAAATTATCATACAGAATGTTCTTATTAATTTATAAATAATAGTACTAATTCTTTTTGATCATACATCAGATAAAGGATATTTAGATAACAAATATTTATTTATATTTTCTTCACCTAAATTAATTTGAGGTAATATTCGCGTAAAAACTTTTCTTAAAGAATATCTAATCATAAAATATATACTAGAAGTTATTATTTCTATTTTATGTAATATTATATCTTTTCAGATCTTTAATACATCTAATAAAATATATTTTCATAATACATCTATTAAAATATAGTATTTATATACAAATATAATGATTAATACAGCTAATAAGAAATAAATTAAAGAAATTAAACCTGAAGTTTTTAATCATTTTGAACTTTTGTTTAATGTTAATTTTATAAACAAAAGATAACTTAAACATTCTACAGTAAAAAATAAAAATAATTTAAACACAAAACCATAAACTGTAAAAGTATTGAGGAATGTTTTGAACTCCTCTGGATCACTATTGTGTAATGTAACATATATATGTAAATTATCATAACTCAAAAATAAACAAGAAATCAAAATAATTAAACCAATTCTAGAATTATATACAGAAATATCTCGCCTTAAACTAAGGGAATTAGATAATAATACTAATATAATAGATATTAAAAAAATAGATATAAAATATAGTTAATGTAAACTCGTAAACTCCAAAAATACCAAATAGACATAACAAAAGCTAAACCAAATAACGTGTTACTTCTATTTAAGTAACCACCTAACTTCCACCATAAACTAAAACTTATTAAATTATAATATATATATACATATATAATCGAATATATTTACAACAATAACCCAAATTAGAAACCTGATCATGGTAAGATCACTAGCCTTCGGGTCTAAATTTAGATACTTTTCATTTTTTTTCAAAATTGGTTTATCTGGGCAAATTTGCTTGCATCTAAATTTAACTTGCTGAACCTATTGGGGTAGGTAGATCCTCTAGGATTTTCCCCCCCTGGGAACCGTACGTGCGATTTTCACCGCATACGGCTCGTACAATTAATCTTGCATACTTTTCTATCTCTTTCATTGGAGACTCGTTCTAGTATGTTTAGCTATTAAATAATAATAATTAAAGTTCAATAAGTCTGTTATTAAACATTCTTTAATATTTTTATTTAACATTGCAAAAGTAATCATCTCCTTTACAATCATATCCTTCTGTTGAATTTATTCAATACTACTTTGTTTCCTTAATTATTGTTAGATAACTTTGAACTCGGGCTAGATAGGATATAATTAAGGCTATTTATACTATGTTAATCGCATACTGTCTAAGTCTGCATCCTCTCGGATCAAATCATAAGATTCTATCACAACCATTACAGCCGCGCATTTGCTTTTTAGACGATCATCTACCCTAAATTTGATACAACATTTTAAGAATAAATTCCTATATGTTGCCTCTCTCGTTGTCAACAAGTGAGAATTGAGGGCTTACCAAGTTCACACAAGACCACCTTTATCTATAATTTTAGATGCCTACTTTACTCCGTGTTATATTTGTTCCATTGTATTTACCAGCATAAGTAATAAATACCATAACATCCACCTTTTTACAGTGAACCTTTTACGGAGCCTCAACATAGATTCACAATATGTTCATCATGATTATAGTTCCCCTAGCACATCGATCTCTATATATAGAAATGGATATTCGTTACATTGTCATCATAGCTTCTAACCGGCTGATTAATCAATCCCGCTAGTATGATTAGGGGTAGATCAATGGAATGATCTAACAGAATTTAACTGTATTAGTCTTGTGCGCTTCTTGTCGCACTTATACTAAAGGTTTTTTTATATACTTCAATATTATATACTACTTATATTAAATTAGAATAATTTTAATTTTTTTTTATAGTTATTTTTCCTAAAGATCTGATATCTATTTAATCCAACCAACCGCCTAAATTTTGATTATTACCAAAATAATATCTTACTTATATCAGGTTATTATGATTCGAACATAACAATTTCCCATCCCAAGTGAGACGCCTTACCGCCTGGCTCTAACCTGTATAAATATTTCAGAGAATATCCGATTCGAACGGATATGTTTGTATAAATATTATATCTATATATTATATAAACTTATATAAACTTATAGGTAACAAGACTCGAACTTGTAAAGTATAAAAACTATTCCATCCTAAGTGGAACCTGGCTACCAAATTTCAGCATACCCATTAGTTTAAACTGCTCGAAATAAGACTTGAACTTATAACCTAAACATCTTCAGTGTTCCGCTCTACCAGCTGAGCTTTCCAAGCAAGCTTTAAACTTGGAGCCATCAGGAATTGAACCTGAATTGAGGACGTGCAAAGTCCCAGTTTTACCAATTAGACTATAGCCCCACACACCACCCTAACTATCCAAAGGAAGGAATCCCTTGACCCTCGCCTTTTACTCCTAGGTAGCCGTCAAGTAATATAAATAAAAAAAAAAATAAAAACAGCAGAAAAGCATTCAATCAATCAATCAATCTTTTCCAAAAAGCCAAAGCCAAAGCCAAATCAAAACCAAAATCAAAACTCATAGCATCCAATATAGCAGATAGCCAACCCAGCCAAACCAACCTCATACCACATTTGTTATTTTACCCATTCATCCATCCATCCATCCTCCACCCAACCAGACACTCTCATCTCATCTCATCTCATCTCATCCCATCTCACTCTGACTGCCAAAACCAAAATATATCGCAAATCGCAAAACAAATAGCCAGCCAAACACAAGAATAAAACCAAAACAAAATCAAACAGCCACCCCAACCCAACCCAACCAAAGATAATCATTATTTTTTCCCCTTTCCTTTCCTTGCACCCCCTTCGCCCCTTCTCCCCGTCTGCCTGCCTGTTGATCCCGTAGCCAACCAAAATCATACCCCCCCGCGCACTGTTGCGTCGATAGGTATAAGGTAGAGAAGTGAGTATACGCGATACAGTTCATCATCCACAATATAAATAAAAATGGGACGTATGTATAATATTTTTCCCGCCGTCGTTCATTCATCCCTCCCTGATCTCTTTCCGCGCTCCTAGATAGAGCCTAAGTCAAGTCACCCAGAGAATTGCTGGGTATGTAGACATATCGAACGATTGGGACCTATCGAATAACCATGGCTGTGAAAAGAAAAGGGGGAAAAAGGAGAACGAAGATATAAGCCCGTCAAATGACTACGGGTGCAATACGTAAATAGAAAAGGTACGAAAAAAGCCACTCCAAAATGGAAAAACAAAGAACGCGTGCGTATCAACAGAATCAGGCAAGCAAAAAAAAGCAGAGCAGCAACGATGATAAAAGACAGATAGCCTCCCAAGAACATAGGAAAATGCCATGTTGCTAACATAAAACATAAAACTCGAAAGGCAAATGGAAACCGAAAGCAAGAGGTGATGGGTATAGACCACACTCATCTCGTAGCCAGGTACATCAAACAGAACGGGATAGTAGGGGGAATAGGGGGAATAGGGGGGTGTAAAGTGGAAATAAAAAAAATATGATTAGCGGGTCGCCCCACGTAGTTTATATAAGTCTTTAGTGCTTTGTTTTGGGAAAGAAAAGAAACGAAAAAGTATTCAAAGCCAAAATGAGAAACAAAAGGAAAGGGGGCGAGGGTGAATATTGGCTGTTCTCGAGTAGCGAATGCAGCAAAGAGCAGGACAAAGCGGTAAAACAACGCCCAGATCGAAATCGCCAGCACCATGCAAGTAGAACATGAATGAGTTTGGAAATTGTTGGAAGAGACGCAGGTTGGGACCAGATATGAACTGGGACTATCGACACGCCAGATGCTTCGAATAATCATCTTCGTTGGCAGTTCGGGTTTCTCCGTATTCGAAATCGTGAAATTTGACGGCGCGTTCCGAACATCATTCTCTCTGGCGGCCGGCCCTGGACGAACGAGGATTATTGCGACGTCTGTCTCTAGATGAACCATCTCTTCCAACTGCTGCCACAGCACGAGATACTCCGCTTCTCCCAATATCGAAATCTGACGTTGAGATGGCTGTCATGTGACCTATTCCATCAACCTTGCACGTCACTCTCATGTCCCAACTTCGGCGGATCTCGATAATGTCGTTCCCCGTATTTGCGTAAAGGGCGTGCTCCTAAGAAACAGTCCCTATTTTATTAAAACCTTTTAAAAATAATAATGATACCCTGTGGCCAGCACGGCGGGATTCATTTCCGTTCCATCTCCGGCGCTGAGCGCGCATCTCAGCCGATTTTCATGATTAGGCCGCGTCGTCCCCACTCATAAATCTCATGTCGATAAAAAAAACCCGCCAATATACGACGCCGCGAATTGGATCCACTCGTTAGACTGTCCGGTTTAGGGCATTCAGCATATCACTATCCGTCGAACTTCGAGTCCCCTGACTTTCCGGGCCCAGCATTTCCCTCACGCTTAGCCCACTTCTGCCAGAAGGCCCGGCCGGGGGTCCTGGTGGCGGGGTGACGCCAGCGCGGGGTGGGACTGGCTGTTGTTGCATAGGCGGATAAGGAAGATTTGGAGCTGAACTAGCGGCCCCAAGAGGCGAAGAGTGACGAGGTTCATAGGCATATTGGGAGTGCGTGGAGGCACGTCTGTCTTGCCCTGGTGGTGGGTAGTACCCCGCGGGGGCGGGGGCTTGGTGACTTTGATAGGGAGGACCCGAAACGGCGGCAGACACGGGAGGGAGGGTGGTTGGCTGTGAAGGTCTCTGTGGGAATTCGTGTGAGACATCAGAACTTGGATTGAGGACGGAGAAGGGGGGTGTTGACTCACATGATCTTGCAGCGTGGACGGATGCGGTAGAGGGGGAGGAGGTCCATACATGCCGTGCGGGGGCGGGAGGGCCCCCTCTGGATGCTGCATAGGCTGTTGTGGAGGGGGGAGCGGTTGGCCATGTGCACCATACAGTGTTATTGGTTCGGGATAGCCTCCTCGCCCACGCGCCTGTAAACCGCCGCGAATGTGGTAGATCGCATGGGCGGGTACAAATGCTTGCGCTTGCGACGAAACCGGCGTAAACATGCACTCTTGGTTGAACCGGGCACAGTTACTGCATCGTCCATCCTGGGAAGTCTCGAAGCCCGAACATCGAATCTAGTGGGATCCAGTGTTAATATGACAGTCATGCAGGTAGAGAGGGCATGTCATGTATCTTCGCGACGGGACAAACCAACCTTGCGTCTCCTGCAGTATCGACAAGCAATGGCCGTTCGTTGTCTTGGGGCAGCGGCAGGATATACCACAGTGGAGGACGGGGGAGGGGGAGGCTGGTGGTGGTACATCTCTGGAGGACGTTGATATGCGCCATGCGGCGGAGGAAGATGGTACTGGTCCTGCTGCGGATGTTGGATATGGGGTTGGATAGCCGTCATAGTGGAGGGAGGAGGAGGAGGCTGAGAGGTATAATGATACGGCGCAGGGGAGGACTGGCCCTTGAAATTTAAAATCGAGGTTAGAACAATGATCCAGGGTTATTCACAGCAGCAGGCAGTGGGGGTCACACGCCCAAGGAAAGCAGAGGCTAGCGGCGGCTGACGCTGGGCAATTGCAAGGCAGACAGAGAGGGCACGAGATTTGGGGGGAGTAAGTAATATGTATGAGGGCTGCCGGAGGGATTACGCACAGAAGAATGCTGCGACGACGGAGAACGCTCAGGCTGACCAGAGGACCACGGAGGCGGTGGATACTGTCCCTGGCGGGTGGGGTCGTTGGACATTTGTTGTGGCCTTGTGACGGGAAGCGGGTTGGGGCGAGCTGCAGCGGGGAGTCGGGGAGGCCAGCAGTGGCGTTCGTGGACGGCAGGGAGGTTTATGTATATCGCTCGGCCTGGACGGGCAGCGGCGTGCGTGACACCGGCGGCGCAGGGGTGGAAGCAAGTAAGCGTTCAGCTCGGTGGAATCTAAACGTCACTGACTGGGCGCGGGATAGCCGGGACCGGGATCACGCCGAATCAAATCGACAGCGCTTCGGTGCGGTATGGGAGGGCCCGAATTACAAACTCGATTGGTGAGAGCCGCCAACTAGCATAGCCTGTCGTGCAGGACAAGCAGACAGGTTTCCGGTGGGCGTAGGTGGCAAACAGCTGTGTTGCCAGCCCTCCACGGCAATGATGGACAGTGGTATATATGTAGGCTGGCACCCGCAGACGTCACGGTCCTTTCCAGTCCTTTTGTCCACTGGTAAAAGGGGATGAATCGGCGTGCCAGACGGGGATCACGAAGCGAATTGATTGACTGACTGATTACTGACCGGAGTCAGCGTAGGCGGCGGAGTGGTATTCCGGGACTGTTCGTATATCTGTATATGAAGTCTGCACAAGCGCCGGCTGCAGGACCGCGTCTGACAGAAAATGCAGTGGAAAGGCCAGAAAAGTGTGTTTTTTGGTGCTGGTATGTACGGCTGATGGCGGAGGGCGGAGGACTTGGAGTGGGATAGGATGGAAAGGTTGAGACGGGTGGAGGAGCAGCCTGGGACCAAGAAACAAAAGCCAATGGAAAAATGGAAAGTGACAAGAAGGAAAAGCGGGAAACAAGAAAGGAAATGCAGATGTTGATGTTGATGTTGCTGCTGGCTGGAGATAGGCCGAGAAGGGAGGAGGGAGAGGAGAGGAGAGGAGAGGAGAGGAGAGGAGAGGAAGAGACGAGCAGGATAACCACGAGAGAGGGAAGCAGCCGTCTCCAGAGGTCGCCGCCGCGAGGAAAGCTGGATAGACAATGTACAGAGTGACGGGAAATCAAGGCTCAACAAGAGGAAAAAGGAGACAGCCGATCGGATTAGATCTGGTGTCCTCTACTCTTTTTTTTCCCTCTCTGGTTCTTCTTTTCTTTTTTCGTTTCTTTTCCGTTTCTTTTTTTTGCTGGTAGAAACCCCACACCCTAGTAATATGGCCCTGTCTTCTCCGTTCCTTCAGCTGCTGATAGTGCTCAATAGTGTCGATAGCTCATAATCACAGGTATGTAATTAACAGTGAAATATAACATCCGCCATACGCAGAAGAAAAGAAGAAGTTGGGTTTCTGGGACCGGGTTGCTGGATCCCTCAACCTAGTTCGGGGCTTGCTTTTAGGCTCGAAGTTAAGTTAGGGTTGGGACAACGATGTTTAATCATGAATGGATCATGGGGGACGAGGACCACGGAAACCTGCCAAAACTAGTAGAGTGTGATATGAGAAGGGGGAAATATTATGATTTTTATTATATATTTTTTTTATTCGCAGCTTTTTGGATTTTTTTTAGCGACGATCAGACGAATAGGAAAATCGGGACTGGAAAGGAAAAAGGAAAAAGAACGTATTAACCAACAAATAAAGGCAGTCGGGCATCATCATCCACATCATCGTCATCGCCATCGCCATCC